TCATAAATTCCGACCACAAAGGTCGACGCTGTTTAAATAATTACAAATTAGGCACGACGACCATGAATCTAAAATAAAATGAAAACATGCACGCAGACCCTAAAAAATAATCAAATTTCATCTTCCCCGTACTATTATCAGGGGGATAAAAGATCTTCCCATTAATAACTTGGTTAAACTGACCCGCTCCTTCGACCATAATCTCGACCCCCGGGTTCAGAATCCTCAGTTGCTCAATGGCCGTGTTGAAACCATAGCCGGGGGTGTCCATGACGTCTTGCTCGAGCACTCTGATGCGCACAATCAGCTCTGCTCTAGACGCCATGCCCTTCTCCACATCGGTTTCTTCTTCAGTCGGGGCTGTGATCCCTTCCAACTCTTTCGTTCGGGCGACCAGACGCTCGTTCTCTTTGGTCACGACCTCCAATTGATGCCACAACTCATTTAGATCCTTGAAAAGTCGAACTTGGGCTTCAAACTTTGACTCGTGATTAAGGATATCACACTTTAATTTTTTGTTCTTGGCCTTCAGCTTCTGAATCTTAGCATATGCTGCATCGAGAGAGGCCTGAGAGCTCGCGGCCTCATCATTCAGCGACCGGGCTGTCTCGAGCATCCTCATGACGACGACCACATCCTCTGCCAAATTCTTTCTAAGAACTTCCTTATCCTTGGACAAAATCGTCTCCCTCTCCTCCTCGTGCATGCTCAAAGAGTTCTCCCCGCTGAAGAGATCACAATTTAGATAGCAAGGAGGCAGAATGAAGACCCCCATGAGCACTTTGTCACCCTCGGGCACTACACCTTCGACATCCTCCATGCATTTCCTCTTTGTCGCAGGCTCGCTGACGGGAATCTGGGCGGGCTCGCCAGAGGGAGCCTGAGTTTTTGATGAAGAAGGGGAACTGCTGGCACGGTCTACAAATTTGACCTGCTCTTGGAGCTGGGTGAACCTGCTTTTTGGCTCCGAGGTAGACGCATTCTTGGGCCTCAACTTCAATAAGCGCTCAGAGAGGGACGCCATTTGACCTGCAATAAAAAAGAAACCATCAGTCATGGGTTAAAAAACAAGGAAACTAACACGGGTACGTCCCCGTATGAAAGACAAGCAAAATTAATCATCACGATATCGTACCCCCTACCTAAAAGCCTCATGGCTTCCCCGTCTGAGGAACATTCGAGCAGGGCCTTTGTGTTGATCAACCTATTAACTAAAAGATACTCCCCGTTGTTGTCGAAGAGGAGGTTGTTGTTCACGCCCACACACCTCGCAGGGGAGAAGCTCCTAACATAGGCCACCAATTTCTCGTAGGAGAGCTGGTCCTGAGCATCTAAGTCCTCGGGCTTCACAGCATAATACTCATGCCTTTGCTCGAAGTGTTTCCATTGCCACTCGAGCGGGAATCTGGCCATAAGCTGGGTAACTGGTCGCTTATCTTCCACTTCCTCCACGCGGGTGTAGATGGAGTCTATGGACGCGTCTGTCAAAAGTTTTACAACAAAATACCTCTCTTTGAAGTTTCAGATAAATTCCAGATAAGGTCTAAAGAGCTTCCCGAACTGCTTGAAGGACACCCACGCTTGCCCCCCTCCAACGGATATTCTTTGGAGATGAAAGATACGGAAGAAAAGGGGCAGCGTGGCCCCTATCTGCAGATACTGGATGACAAGCTCGAACACCCGCATGAATGCCAACGTGTTTGGGTGAAGTTGACAGGGCGCCAATTGAAGCCACTGGAAAACCCCCACTTGGAAATTGTTGAAGGGAAAACGCATCCCTGCCTCTTTAAATGTGAATTCGTACATGGGAAAATGTTTGCCCGGATACTATGAGCAGATTCTCCAGTTGCGGTGGCGAATTTGAAGGATCCAGTTGGCAGGGGCCCCATCCGCTCGTACCTCTGGACAGTTGAATGCATCCATTGTGTCATAAGAAAAGCACGACCTCTTATTTCGAGGCTCAGGTGAGACCCAGGCCAGAGGGTCCTCATCGACATGTGGTTCATCTTCGTAGTTGGCGGGCAGAACATCATCCTCGACCGAGGGCGCCATTATACCTGAAAAGAAGGGGAAAACAGTGAATTTGACATTATCAAATTCACCCTTCAACCGCATATCAAGTGAAAGGGCGACAGACTCGACCCAAGCCCTCGACTATACGCTAAAGCGGACTACGTTTTTGTTGGGGGATATTCACTAAAACGAGCAAGAAGCCCGAGTCAACCCCATTATCCGGGGAGATCGTCCCCTATATTATGGCCACTATTCGGGGACAATATCATAAACTCATGGATTTCAATAAACATTCATGAGTGTTCGTCGTAGAACTCATGAGCTTCAATGAACATTCATGTGTTCATCACAAAACTCATGAATATTTATCTAGTCAAGGCAAATATTAGGTGTTTAACCTAGAAACACTGAGGAAATATGTTGTCAAGGAGATATAGGTGACTCATACCCTACGAGGTTCATCACAAAAATTCATCATTAGATTGGGCCTTTTGGACTTCTCCTAAAGGGGTGGCACCCCAAAGCAACAACCACGTGGCTCAACAATCAACTACGCGTCCCTTCTCGATAGACGAACATATCCCCAACTTCAATGCGTAATCCCCATGCGAGCACGAGATAGACACCTCACGCATGGGAATGCTCGACGCCATGGCTGAAGCGTGTATAGAGACACATTCATCACGATCTACCTCGAGGGAGAAATAACGCTCGACATCGTGACAATCCCTTGAAGACGGACACGTCGAAAGAGAGCTCGCAGAAGCTCCCTGTAACTTATACGGTCCTCTCGGGAAAACAATTGACCCCGTTTGTCTCACTGCTCATTTGTCCACAAGATCCCCGACACACCCAAACAGGTTGTCCCCTATGCGGGCAACAACTCGCTTCCTTTCAGAAGACTTCGACCATCCTCCCCGACCGAATCCTCTCCGACTATAAAAGTTGAACTTAAGTCATCACCCTTTCACCCGAGGGCAATAACTTGGGGGGCTCCTGATCTGGACTGGGCATGCACTTGTCCCCCAGTCGGGAGGCCCAATCCAACACCCTTGTATAAGGCCCAAAAGCAAGCAACCCAAGTTAGGGACCGTTGGGCAACTCCCCACACATCCGTTGGGGAACGTGGGCCACGTCCTCACATCATAGTCATCTTAACTGCCCTCCAGAAATCAAGGGTCCAACCCCTATTTTCACGAAGCAGTTGACCAGGGGGAGTCCACTTGCTGGACTCCATACACACGTAAGCCTTGGCAGTTTCCATTATTGGGCCTCAACGTGGCCCAACAATGGGGACCTTGGCCCAGTGCCAGAGGCTATAAATACTCTCTCTTTCGAGAGGGTCAGGTATTAAATAATTTCTCACTCTCTTACTCGCTAGCTCATTCTGAATCTCACTTTGGCATCAGAGTGTTTTGCAGGTACTCCCTCCCCACCTCACTCTCAAGTTCAACTCGACGTAAGCTGTGACGGTCCATTCTGATTAGGTACGATCAAATATAAAATGGACAATGAAACATAAAAATGTCATATCTCTTGAGCAATTGAGACCTTCACTTAAAAAAAGAATATCATAAAGAAGAAAATACTAAAGACCGATTTACTCACGAGAAAATTATGTTGCTGCTTATTGAAAAAGAAAAATGAAAATTTTAAATCCTATGGCTTGTTATAATAGTTGAACAACATTGATATCTTGACACTACTTTTGTATACCAATACTTACATTATATACTGTTCACCGTATTTTTACGGTGAACAATATTTTTTAAAATAAAAAATATTTATTTATGAACAATAACATGAATGGTACGAACTGTGAACAATGTTCGTAAACACTACATGAACATTTGTTTTTAATAGTAAAATAAAGTTAGTTAATGAAATGTAAAAAATTGTTTAATGAAGTGATGAAGTTGGTTAATAAACACCTAAATATTAAAAATAATTTAGTAAAACAAAGTTGGTTAATGAAATATAAAAAGTTGATTAATGAAGTGATGAAATTGGTTAATAAATATTCAGATATTAAAAATAATTTTTAGCAGTAAAACAAAGTTGTTTAATACTCCCTCCGTCCCAAAATAAGAGTCACATTTGATAAAATTATTTGTCCCAAAATAAGTGTCGCTTTTAGTTTTCAATGCAATTTTAATTTTTATCTTCCAATTATATCATCTAATTAATGCTCTCAATTTATGATTCTCCCACTCTGCATTTATGATCATTCGAATACACCAATAACAAACAATGATAGTTTTGTAAAAATACTAATCTCCCTTTTTCATTTATTATATTTTATTAATCTGCTTAAAATGATCAACTATGACAATTATTTTGGAATAGAGAGAGTATACAATATAAAATATTGGTTAATGAATTTATGAAGTTGATTAATAATAGTTCATATTTTTATTTGTTATGAAGTTGATTAATGAAATGAAGTTATTAAATTGATTGATCATATAAATTAAAAAAATGTAAAAATAATTTAAAAATAATAGTTTTTTTTTATAAAAAAATAATTTATATAATATTGGACTCTTCATTCGTATCGGTGAACAGTGAAATACGGTGTTGGTAGTACATCGGTGTAAGAATAATATTTTTGATAGTTTAATAGTAAACTAATTTAAAATATTGATATGTAATACAAAGCAATTCAATAACTGCATTACCATCTTGTGCAATAAATCATGAAATCTTCAGCATATCAGATCGGTGAGCATCAGGTGCTCATGGCCAACCACAACATCTTCTGCTTCGTCCACTTGCAATAGTAGAAGATGTTTGAGCCATGGAAAACTTTTCTTCATCACAGTAAAAACATAAGACCACTTCAGGTTCATAGAATTAATTGAATGAGCTATCACAACAACACCATATGCTATTGGATCCTAAGAAACTAATAATGAAAACATATCTACATTACTTCGACAAACTTCACAAATACATTGAAAAAACATTGAACGACTTCTCTATAGTCTTCAATTGCTCGATTGCAGTATCTCCGACGTGTTGTGGGAGCTACTAGCACAAGAGTGAAGGTTTTCATCTATATCAAGGACAGCTTTTTTCTTTATGAACTCAATGCAATCTGCTACAGCTTCGCTATTGTGATGAGTATCATACTGGCTATAACGAATTTGCCTCTCTCCATCACCTGAACCACCGTGATTGCTGGCACTAGTTTTTGAAAATGCAGACATCATCATTAATCGGAAAACAGCTTCTCTGAAACGCTCTAACAATGTAATCGGAGACGGAATCTTGTTCTTGAATGAGTTGCTTTTTAGCCTCGGCATGCATTGACCCTTCATCATTTTGATCCTTTCTTCTCTTTTCCTAGCTAGAACAATGAATGTCTATTTATTGGAGATTCTATACTTGCATTTCAACAATGATTCATAAAATGCATTTGCATTTGTTTATGTGGAATTTAGCTGTGTGTTTTGTTATTTTGGAGGTTTGACTAATACAGTGCTTAGTTGGTTTTTGATTAATTAGATTGTTGATAATTCTATAGGTTGAACTATATATTTATTGAGTCATGTTCATGTTACTCTCGTATTCAAATTTTGTCTTTGACCGCTTGAACTAAGAATGCCTCACATGGTTACATGTGCTTGTTAATTTACATTACATTATACTACTTTCAATTAATCTACACATGAGCAATGAGGTGTTTTTTGAGCCAATTCTAAGAACCTTGAATAATAACGTGCGTCAAATTATTATTATTCTTTAGAATTAACAACACTTAAAAAAATAATTTGCAAAGAGATGAAAGAAGGTTAGACGAGTAGAAACAGAGTCAAATACATGAGAGTCGGATCTTTATTGAGGTCCACAAAAGTCAAAGAAATGTTAGACTTAATTCAAGCCTATAAAAACTAAATAATTTGACATTTTATTTGTGTTTCTTCTTTATAGTACCACTAATTAAAATGCTGTTGATATGGAGCCACATTAATAGAGAATAACACATATGTAGATTAAAGAAACGACAAGTATCGTGAAAGAGAAGGGGTAGGGGGTCTCGTATCCCGTAGGAAAACTACTAGCATAATTAGCCTAGCAAGGCCAAATTCTATATGCCACGTCAATTTTGTTAGTTGTACTATTGTTTTTCTATAGATTATTAACAAATTTGTGCGTAAGTGTTCTAGTACGTGTATTTATTTAGGTAATATATTTATTTAAAATTGAAGGTTAAAAAAAATAAAATATTTAAATCAATAATATATTTTTTTTGTATATAAAAAATTATATTAATAATAGAATTTTTCTCGTATATTATTTTTGAATTATAAATATTATTTTTCTTATATTCTCGTATGCAAATATTTTTGTTTAAGTATCGTTTATAAAAATATCTGGATCATATGGAGTTGGGCCAAGGACATGCCCAGTCCAGAACAGGAGTCCCCCGAGTCGTTGTTCCTGATGAAGGGGTTATAACTTAAGTCCAACTTTTTCTTTTACGAGGTGCGTCACTCGACGAGGATCTTTCATTGTGTTGGAGGAGAAAGTCGTTTGTGTGTGGGTTTACTCGAGCAGCGCTCGAAATGGATTCAAGATGGAATCATTCTAGTTGTTCCTCGACTCGCGGGGAGAGGAAAGCCTGCAGGGTGTAGACACGTGGCCTGACCTTTGAGATTGTAATGATGGTCTAGGGAGTAGGGGCCATCATTAACTGAGCGCGTAGATATCGAGAAGAAGGGCGGTTGGTGAGCTGCCCGACACGATGTTTCGCATTCCACGTAAGCTCTATATATAGCGCCCGGGGTGTTCATGAAAATAAGCGTTCATCGTTATAACCGTTGTGCGGTCTTATAAGACTGTCATGATTTTCATGCCCTGATCGAGGGCCGTGTATTTCCCCTTTCTGCACGAGTGACTGTCGACTTGGTCTGGGCGCCACATAACCCTTTCCTCTGCTTTACAGGTAAAATGGTCGACATTCCCGAATTGTCCGAGCACATGGACACCAAAGAGACCAGCGCAGCCGAGGAGGGTGTAAACTTGGTTGACACGGTCGATGATCCTGCATTGGCTTGGGTCGGGGCAGAACTTCAAGGAATAGCCTCGATATACAGTTATAGTAGGAGGCAGGCTTATACTGACGTCGAGTATGGCGACGATCAGGAAGGTTTCCAAAGGAACTTCAAGATCTTGCGACCGACGGCCACCGCTTGAATATGCTCGGAGTTCAAGGAAGACCGCTTCCCTATGTACGAGGTCGTTTTTAAAGACTTGGGGCTTCACCTTCCCTTCAACAATTTCCAGATGGGGGTGTTCAATCACTTGAACCTAGCACCCTCTCAGCTCCACCCCAATGCCATTGCCTTCATCCGAGCATTTGAGATTATTTGCCGGTTCTTGAGGATCGGGGTGACCATTTCCTTGTTCTTTAAGGTTTTTCATCTACAACGGCAGTCCCAGGGTGGGAAACACAACTGGGTCTCCCTCAAACAGTCGAAGAGGCTGTTCAGGATGTACATGGACTCTGTCTACGACTTCAAAGATAGATGGTATGTCGTGCAACCTTCTTTTCAGGCAGTCGTGGGCATCGTGTTCGACCCGGCTTCCATTATGGTGAAGACGATGAACCGTGCTATGATGCGGAAAGAGAGTCGGAGATTGGGATACTCTCGAAGTTTCCCATACATTGGTGTTCTGGCCACTATGATCAGGGTCCCAGGCATTACCATACGCCCGCCGGAGGCATGAGCGCATAGGACAAAGAGGCATACAATGTCCTTAATCGGTTTATCGATGGGTTTTTCCCCGCCAGGTGGGTCACGAGGGAAGGACACGACATCCTCGATGAAGATGGTGAGCCAACGTTCGAAGCGCGCCCGATCAACACCAAGGCGCTCGTTGAGTGTCGTTCTTACGGGAGAGTCGTGAATCTCTTAGGTTTCTGTTCGCTTGATTTTACTATATTTTTACTTCTTGACCTCTTTTGTTTTCCCGTCGAGGCTGACCCGAGGATACTGTTTTTGTTTTTGCAGGTAACATGGCGGAGCGCCGTGAGAGATTATTGAAACTGACCCAAGAGAAAAAGAGCCATAAGAGGTTGGTGAAGCCACACCAGGCTACACACATGGGTTCAGTTTCTGAACCGGTCAAGGAGGGATCAAGTGGGTTGTTGGGGACCCGCGATGCTGAGTAGCATACTCTTGTGTTGAGCAAGAAAATGAGTCTCCCAGTACGTGGGCTCGCTGACGTGACTGAGGGATGGGCGACTTCCCGAGCCTTCAGCCTCCTACCTTATTTCTTGGAGAAGGATTTCTTCGAGGGCTTCCCTCTAACTATGTCCTACAATGAGTTCGACATTGTTGTACCCCAAAATTTGCCCTCGCATTTTACCACAAGAAATAACAACTTTAGGCTTTCCATGATCTTTAAAATTGGCTCAAGAATCGGACAAACGGACTTTTCTCGTCAGTCAAGCAAAATTAGGGTTTTACTGGTTTTCATGGCTCTAGAACAGTTCACACAGTTGGCTTAGGGTTTTGGTTGATTTTGGCTCAATTGTGATCAGGCGAATGTTCGTTGGCATTTAATCAGGAATTAAGGTTTTATGGGCATATTCTCAGAAAGATTAAAATTCCACAGCACTTTGCAAATTATTCCGAGATTCGGTTTGTATTCGCATTGTTTTGATTTAATCAGCAAAAGAGAAAGTTGGTTTGAATTCACGTTGGTTTGTCTGAGCCAGTCAAAAGAAATATGCAGTTTGGATTTACAGTGCTTGGTAAGAAATCAGTAAGAAAGGATTGCGTCTGACCAGTTATTGCGTTCGACTGTGCGTTGCTTTGGATGATGGAGACGTCAAGTTCATTTATTTTGATCAACGAAGAATCAATGTTTAGTTGATTATTTTATGATTCTAAGAATTATATATCTGGAATTTAATTTTCATTTATTTTAATTTAAGGAACCATGAATAATAAGTAAATAATTGAAAAGGAATTGAAAAGAATTAAATGAATCAATAGAATTTTTATTTCATATTTAATATTTGTTACAATTATTATTTGGATACAAGTATTTATTTACGAAGTATTTAAAATAATAATAGTTTACAATAATTAAATTGAAAATAAAAACTATCCTATTTTTTCTAAACATTTTCTAAGTCCCTAATTCTTCATTCTTCACTTCGCTCCGGTGCTCCATTTTTCACCTGCAAAAAATAAGAGAAGAAAAGTCAAATAACAGTTGAATTGAATTGAAAAAGCAGATAAATTGCAGTCATCATTAAGGGCCACTGATTGGGATCAGTTAACCCTCTCTGCAAATTACGGGATTTCTCCCGGTTCACAACGAGGGAAGAATTTTATTTAAATCATGAATGCAAAATGTCAAAATGCATAAATGCAAAATGTCAAAATGCATAAATGCAAAATGTCAAAATGCATAAATGCAAAATGTCAAACTGCATAGTTCAGAAACAAGTTCAAACCCAACTGAAAAAAATGCAAAGTGCAATTTACTGTCAAAATGCCAAGAAGTCTACTCAAAGCTGTCAAGTTACTGCACAAAGATATCAAAGAAGATAAAGAAGTACAACTTGCTGTCAAAAATACAAAGTCTTCTCAAAGCTGTCAAAGAAAAGATAAAGAATGCAGAAGAAATCTTTTATGCAAGCAAGCTACATCTTTCATCATTTCCCAATAGCCCTTTCAGAACTAAAAAGTACAAAAAGCATAATATTATAATGCAACTGTACTGAGAGAGAGAGAGAGAAGAGAGAAAAGATGCAGGTTTTTAGGCTTTAGGCAGGCATAGATAAAAAGGATATAACACACAAGAAAAAAACACAGTTGAAGAGGCAGAACTTTCACCAAAGTTAAAGGGAAACCAATACAAACTGATGAGCATTCAACCTGCTGTCCAAAAAAACTTTAAGCAAGAAACCTCAAGCACCCCAACCTGCCTAAAGCAAGCCTGAAGCCAAACCATTACCTACTGTAAAAACTCAAACCTGTTACAAACTGATATACAAAAAACTTGCTATTGCATCTACCAAGTCCTGACCTGAAGCAAGCCTAACCACAGCCTGCATTAGCACAATCTGCCATACCAGCATACAAACCCCTGTCAAACACTAAACCTGCCTAAGCTTTGAAGCAAGCACAAAACCTGTCCTAAACCAATATACAAACCAGCTGAAGTTACAAAACACAAATAAAACCTGCATCAGTCAAAACCTATTCAAACCCATCCCAAAAGCACAAAACCTGTCCTGAACCAAGTCCAATACCATTACTACTGTCAAAAAAACAATATGGCTTAAACCCAAAAACACTAT